TTTTTTTTTTTTTTTTTTTTTTTTTTTCTTTTGAGATGGAGTCTTACTCTGTCGCCCAGACTGGAGTGCAGTGGTGCAATCTCATCTCACTGCAACCTCTACCTCTCGGGTTCAAGCGATTCTCATGCCTCAGCTTCCTGAGGAGCTGGAATTACAGATGTGTGCTACCATGCCTAGCTAATTTTTTTTCTCTTTTAGCAGAGATGGGGATTCATCATGTTGGACAGGCTGGTCTTAAACTCCTGACCTCAGGTGATCTGCCACCTCGACCTCCCAAAATGCTGGGAATACAGGCGTGAGGCTGTCAACTCATTTTAAATATACATTATATTAATATTTAATCAAAACAGGTTGGCCGGCACGGTGGCTCATGCCTGTAATCCCAGCACTTTGGGAGCCTGAGGCAGGTGGATTATGTCAGGAGATCGAGACCATCTTGGCCAACATGGTGAAACACTGTCCCTACTAAAATACAAAAAAAAAAAAAAAAAAAAAAAAAAAAAGCCAGACCTGATGGCATGGCATGCGCCTGTAGTCCCAGCTACTCAGGAGGCTGAGGCAGAGGAATCGCTTGAACCCAGGAGACGGAGGTTGCAGTGAGCCGAGATCACGCCACTGCACTCCAATCTGGCAGCAGAGCAAGACTCCGTCTCAAAAAAAAAAAAAAAAAAAAAAATGCTTATCATAAGACATTCTCCCTATGTGGATATAGTGAAATGTTCCAAAATAAACCTGCTAAATGAGCTTAATTACAGGTTGAGTGTCTGTGGAGTTAAAAAACACAAACTGTCCTCTGCTTTGGCATCACAGCAATCAGGACAGAAGACTTATGTGACCAAATGCATAAGGGTTTTCACCCACACACCAAACAAGCAATCCTACAGCAGACACTAGCTGGTGTTCTCCAATTCAATTCTGACACTATCTATCTACCTGGAGATAATATCTTGAGTTATTTCAGTATATAAAATTTACAGGTCTATACTATCATAAGACAATTTTAATTTTACCTTTATAATAAGGAATAGCAGACTCATGATTTGATCTTTTTTTCCTTCACTAGTATTGGGTGTTGTACCACTCCAATATGTGTTTGTTATGACATTTACTCTTGATGATGGAACAGGTGTATTAGAAGCCTATCTCATGGATTCTGTAAGTATCAGAGGTAGTAAAGATATTTTTAATTTAAAATATTTTAAAAATTTAAAATTTTTTAATATTTAAAAAATTGAATACATTTATTTATACCTGCTTTATTCCTAAAAGGACTTAAAGCAACTTAAAAATGTAAGTTAAAATATGAGCACATAAATTTTGAATCATCTGTGTATGTATCTTTTTTATTTGACACCGTAAATCTTATTATTTGAATAATGAAAAATTAAAGAACAGGGATTTAAAGAGTCATTCTCTGTACCTTAGCCAAAATACAGAGATACGGCTACACCATGGAAGCATTATTTATAGTCAACATTTTATCATACTTTTTCAACCTCCACATTTCATATTAGAGGAAATTAAGTTACTTTGACAGGAGAGATAAATATTATTATATAAAGTTTTGAGGCAGTCTACAAAAACTTCCTCATTTCTAACACTAATTACAGCTTTGGAAGTCCCCAAGGCCACTCTTAGTTTTGATAATTCACAAAACATAGAATTCACTGAAACCTGCTATACTGACAGCTACAGATTATTACAGCGAAAGGATGTACATTAAAATCAGATAATGGAAGAGATGAGTAGGACAGAGTCCAGGAAAGTCCCAGACATGGAGCTTATGGTTGTCCCCTCCCCAGAGACTTGCAGACTGTTACTTTCCCTGCAACAATGTATAACAATATACGTAATATATTGCCAAATAGGGAAGCTCAGCTAAAAGTTTTTAGTGGATTCCATCATATAGGTATGGTTTACTGCCCATTGGCTGATCACAGTCTTCAGCCCCTCTTGAGATCAAGCTGATACCACATGCTCTGAATATCTTACCCTACATCATATTGTTAAACTATTAACAGTGACCAAAGCTTCCAGTCAAAAATACTTCTATCACCTGTGACATGGGAAGGGCTTAGAGATTACCTACCACAAGCTAAGGTCAAAGCCCATACTTCTCTTAGGGTAAAGTTAAAGTGTTTGCTACATGCATTGGAAAATATGTGAGGTAAAGTTAAGAGGAGAATTTTTCTCCTACCTACACAATTCATTTAACCTTTTATTAAATTATTGAATATTTAATGAGCACCTGCAGTGTGCTAGGTACTATCCTATGTGATGGAAGCAAAGCAAGCAAAATTCCTTCCTTCTTGAATCTTACAACCTAGTAGGGGAGATAAAAATTAAATAAATATATATATACTATATGTTATATTCATTTAAGCTTAGCACAAGATATTTTTTCTATGCAGAAAGAGAATAGCCTCACTTTTTAAATCATTATTACCACATCATTATTATTAAATCAGAGCAATTTACAGGTATTGATCGACTTACCACCTATGCAACTTACAGCCATTCAACTTTACGACCACAATCGCTAGCCACGACTGCTCCGCGTCTGGCAGCGCAAACGTTGCCCAGCTGGGCGTATGACAGTGCTGACCAGCTTCCGGCAGCACTACCATCTCCGCGTGCACCATTTCAACTGTACATATAGCCTACTCAACTTACTACCAAATCGTGTTACGACCAGTCCGCGGTCCCGACCGTGGTCGTAAGTCGAGCACTAGCTGTACTTGATTATATATATCTCAAAGCTATTTTAAGATTAAAGTAGCATTTTAATCTAATTAGCATTTTAATCTCCTAGGTAGCATTTTAATCTACTAATCTAGAATGCTGAGACCAGCATTCTAGTTTATGAATTCTACAATCTTGATAGAGTAAAATCGTCTAGATTATCTTTTAATTAGACAATATTGAAATATGTTTGTGTTAATAATAACATTACAGATGATATCATTTACTTTTTTTCTTCTCTTATAAAATATTTTTAAGGACAAATTCTTCCAGATTCCAGCATCAGAAGTTCTAATGGATGATGACCTTCAGAAAAGTATGGATATGATCATGGATATGTTTTGTCCTCCAGGAATAAAAGTTGGTAGGCAAGAATATTTTAACAATTCCACACTTACTTTTACTTGAGATAGCAATAGCATATATGTAATCTGTGGACTTTGAGAAGTCTGAAAGCTTTGCTTCCAAATGAATTACTAAGTAGTGATTACTGTATGATCAACTTTGATGAAGACAGTGACAGGGATAAAATAGTTATGAATCATTTCTGCATTGAAGAGATTTTTTAAATATAGGAAAGGGAGGTAGCTTTGATCACAGGCACGTGTGACGTTGTCATGCTACAAGCATTTTAGATGAAATTAGACCAAGAGTATAAATTGTTGGCAGTAAACGTTTTCTATAACAAATTCCAGGGTTATCCAGTTTAATCCATAATGAATTTTTTTATTTAGTGTTAACTAGTTTCAGATTTTGTAAAATTAAAAAGCTTATAGGCTTTTGTTTTACTAATTTTTTATAAGCTTTGTTTTCTATATAAACATTTGATTAATAAACCAGATATTCCTCATTTCAAATTGTACTGCTTATACCTGCTGCTACTGAATTTTCCTTCTGTGGCCATATTTGTACTTATGTTGAAACTTGCAAATCTAAGTCATATTAAGACAATTTGATTTTTTTAACAACTTAACTTTTTATTGTAGGAAATTTCATCAGCTGCAGATTTAGCAGCTGGTTTAACTTTATATGTTAATTTTAATCAAGCTTTACTTTCCCTGGTTAATCTTTGCATCTTATAATAGTTACATAATGATAGGAATTTCTGTTGATCTATAACAAAGTTTAACTTGAATACTTGTATTTGTTGTCAGTTTTAATTTGTGTTATCTGTTTGGGTTCTTTTAGATAGATTTCTAGAAGTAAATCTTTATATAAAAAAACATGGCCTAGTAGACCCATTTTAACCACTATTTTAGATTTTAAATGTATATACCAACCATTTTGAAACACAAGATGTAATCACTGTTACCTATTTTTAGCAAAAATTCAAATTAGTCACAGTTGCTCCAGAATAATAACATGAATCTAGTATGTATTTGGGAAAGAGAATAATGTTAAATTTGGAAGGGACATTTACTTACTTTTCAAGCCAAAATAAATGTCAACTTTTCTAGCTCAGTCGTATGCTTAGATACCTATTTCAGAGTTGTTTATTTTGTTTTAATGGTTAAATAACATTTTTGTTTTTGGTTTTGTAGATGCATATCCATGGTTGGAATGCCTCATCAAGTCATACAATGTCACAAATGGAACAGAGAATCAAATTTGCTATCAGATTTTTGACACCAGAGTTGCAGAAGATGTAATCTAATATTGCCATCCAACTTAGCATACACAAAATGTTGTAATTTATTAAAATGTTACTTTTCTATTAGATTATTATAAAACCCGTAAGAGATTTAGCTATTTTTTAAAATACCGTTCACAATTCCATTTTAACTAATATATTTTATTATTTTGACAAATAGATATTGTGTTATTTTAATGCCATCTTGTATGCTAAAAATGTTTCCGTTGCTCAAAATAATCAGGACGATGGCTTTCAGGTATATAAAAGAAATAGAGACATTGAATAAGAACTGTGTTTTCGTTTACTCTTCTACAGTCATTTTAGAGCAGTGGTTTTGTTAATCTACACTAGAACTCACATTTTCTATTGGTTTTTTGTGTATCAGCCACTGATTTCTCTGCCACTCACAATCCCTGGTTGAGCTTCTTTTCCTGCCCTGAGTTTTGTATCAGCAATGTTGATGATGTTAAGTATGGGTATGGGATTAGAAAATGTCCTTATCTTAAATCTCTTGGCTTTAACTGGGTGCAAGGTAAATAATGGCTACGAATTTTGTTTTGCTTTTGTACAAAGGGATCTGCTAAAGCAAGTACTGCTTAGGTAAGTGTTTGTCTGATCAAGCTACAGTGTACTTGAAGTAGAAATGGCAAAGTTGCTTTGTTGGGGTGCTGAT